AAATTGATCAACCTACGAAGTCATAATTAGGTAATAAACTTTTTAAAATAGAAATGAATTTAAAAAATTACAAAAATGTAGAAAAAATTAGACACCTTTATGATATTTTTATCAATCATATTAAAAAGTGTAATAAACATGAATTATTTTTATTGATAATGAAAATGAAATACATAATTTAGAATTGATCAAAAATGAAATATAAAAATTAATAATAAATAGTTCAACTTTTGGGTAGAATATGTTAACCTTTAATGTCATAAATAAATAATAAAATTACATAAATTTTTCAAAAAAGGCATTCAAGCACATGTATCATATCATATATTTATCATATTAAACAAAAAGTAAGTGTGATATATCCAAATTATTTTTACACACAAAAATACAAAAAAATTGTAGACAAAATTGGACACATCTATAATTCTATATTTACGCTACCATGGTTTTTAAAACTGACCTGGAGACTGAATTGATCAGGGGTCCGGTTACTTGGTCGAATGGTCCGACCGTTCGAACCGAACGACCAGCCCGTTCTGACAAAAAAAATAAAAAAAAAAGGTCAAAACCGTTCGAATGGTCAACTGCCTGGTTCAGCCGTTTGCTAATGAAAATCAACATTTTTTTTTAGAAAATCTGGTTTTTTTTGGGGGGGGGAACCGAATCGATCAGGTGATCGGTTTCCGTTTTTTTGGTCCGACCGTCTAGTCCGGTTTTGAAAACCATGTATGCTACTATTAAAAATATGAATAAAATTGTGAAACTTTCTTTTGACTAAAATACTAATTTTTTTGAATTTAGTCCTTATTTAATTGAAAGATTGAAATTTTAAATTGAACTACTATTTTTCACCTCATTCAATTCCCTCTATTTAAATCTTATATTTTTTGATAAATGAACTAAGGAAAAAAGATACACCAAAAAGACAAAACACTAGAAAAAGAAGAGTATAGCTAAGCGGGTGGGACTCTTAATGATACATGAAACTTTACAACTCGATCCGATTATCACATATTTGGATGAAATATTTATGCAATTAGATTTGGACTTTGCAATCTGCATATGATTAATAATAAAAAATGTAAAAATGTAAAAGTGAAATAAAAATTTATAAAATTTATAAAAAAAATTGGATATATTATTTCCATTATTAACATCATCTAGAATTGCTACATGAAAAGCCCGTGCATACTTACTAGTATAGATAAAGTTGATGAATTTTAGGCAATTTAATAAAATAGTGGAGAGGAGAGAGAGAATTAATGGCATGAGTGCTAATTGTTAGAATTAATGAGGATAAATGAGAAAGAGAGGTGAATTTTTTTTTTTGAAAAATGAGAAAGAGAGGAGATAATTAATGAGGAGAGTTAAAACGTTTTAAAGATGATTGACCACTTCAATTATTTTATTCAATTTTAAAAAACAAAAGAATTAAAAAAATAATAAATGACGTTGGAAAAGAAAAAAACAAAAAGCAAGTTTACTTGACACATTCGATCTTAATATATAGATATAGATGGGATTCGGATGTCACTGGTTTTGATCAGGATCCAATTCATCCAATCACAGCCCTACATTTGACTGCCAAACAAATTGGATCAGAATTATCGACCATAAAAATTTTGTGCTGTTGGCATCCCTGCTTGACCCGATTAGTTATCCTTGTTATGTGAATATTTCATTTATTATTGATTTATTGATATGTTGTGCATCACTTGGGAGACATTCCATGAGATTTATTGGGCGTTTTCCCTGTCCTTAGTCTGTGTTTATGCTACGTGCAAGTAAGAACAGAATTATCAAAAAATTTAAGAAGAGAAAAAGAAAGACCGAGAGAAAGAGAGAGAGAGAAGCAAGAACAAAGAATTTGACGCTTTAAAGTTTTTGAAACTTCTTCCCTGATTCTATACAACTTGTCAATTCCTTTTTTTGTTCTACACTTCTATGCAATAAAGTAATGTATTTTCACCGTTTAATCTTTTCTGAAATAAAATACTTTGAAAATTTGTGAGATCACATGTAATGAAAGATATTGTGACCTGTAACAAACAGATTTGTAATTTTTTTATTAAAGTTTTAATTAAATGCATGCCAGCTTGTAACTTGTAAGCTACTGCTATCCATTTGCTATGGGTTAAAAAAACTATTCATTGCTTGACCATTAATCATTAATTCACGCTATCCATTTTTTCAGTATCATTGTTAGAACCCTTATTTATATTTATATATATATATGATGTTCTTTTAAAAATTAGTCGGGAATGAAAAATATGGGCACCATATAAGTGGCCTTGACCACCAATAATTATCAAAAACAAAATATTTTCGCCCTTTGAGCCAAAATATGGGCACCATTCATTGTTGACGGATCATCTAGAATATGGGCGGGTTCATTCCTAGCGTGCCCCATTTCATCTCTTAATAACGCTTACCCGTGTAAGGAAACGAAACTATTTAAGTGCTTCTATGTTGAATTAGGGATGTGATTAATAAAAAAATTAATTGAAGTTGCATTATTGAAGAAGGGGTTAAACAAAGACTAAGACAGTACGTAGAGAAAAAAACTAAAAAAAGAACATAGATCCAAAGTAGTAAGGAATTGATTTAATTGGGCTTCTGATGGAAGCTATCTTTAGAGATGCTTTAACTGGACGATGACATTGTTGAAAGAAGCAGCAACCGAATCGAATTTCCTAATAATAATTTAGGGACCTGTCTGTCTAGAAAAAAGTGAGGGAACTTTAATCATATGAAACATGTACGGTCATACGAGATAGGGGTGATCATTTCAGCTGGAATGGATGGGAAATTTTCATGTTTGTGCCTACTGCCTAGGTTTTGTGTTTGATCAGGATCCCTATTGGGTTTGTAAATTTTAGAAACTGACTTGGGCTTAAAACTTCAAGCATAGCCCAGCCCAATCCGGTCCATGTATATATAAATATATAATTTTTATATAATGTATATATTATATATAACATATAAAATAAATTTATATATTATGTGTCATTTAATTCAATATATATATATATATATATAAATATAAATAATATTTTATGTATAGAAGACATATGCCCTGAATCAGGCTTGGCCTGACTTGAGTCCATATAGGCTTGGGGCCAGACTTATATTTTAGTCTTGGAACTCAAGCTAGGTTAGGCTTACTTACGCTTAAAACACTTAGGCCCTGTTCGCTTTTTGATAAGCTATTTACTTGAGTAAGCACAATTCTCCAAGTTTTTCTTAGGAAACACGTATCTTGGTAACTGTATTTATTTATGTTCTTTAGGCTGTGGTTGGTTGCAGTGCAAATAAGTTTGCATTAGTATAAATGCATAGGAGTGCAAATGTAAATTCTTGTTTAATTTTGTTTTGAATTTTACTTTATTCTATTTCATGTCCTAATTTACTTTATTTGTACTGCAATCAAACTAAATAAGCTAAAATTTGAAACAAAAATAGGTCAGAATTTACCTTCAAATCATTTGCATTGCCATGGTTTTGCATCAATGCAAATTTATCTGCACTGCAACCAAACATAGCCTTAAGTAAAAAAAAAAGGCAATCACCATTTTAGCCATAAAAATCTATTATTAAAAGCGACATTTTTGTCATAGAAGATGGGATAACCCTGGAAAAATAAATTTTCTCTAGCCCCCACATTAATATGAAAAAATAATATAGGATATTTGGTCAATAGGAACCAAAATCCCAAATCCAAAAAAATAATGGAAAAGTACAGACATGCTTAATGAAGATTTCTAATTCTCACCACAAAACTATGCACATTCAGAAGGTCCAAAAACCACACTCTATACATCCATACTCGCAACATAAATTGGCATCAATTCTAAGCTGGCACCTACCCCAAATGTACTTTGAACCTACAAATTCTGACCCTAGGGTTATCGGTCATTTTCCAAAAAAAAAAAACCGTACCCGAACACAGCCCATAATCAACTAATCACCAAGCCGTTTTAGGCCAGACACGCTCACCTATTCACACCCATGTCTATGTTTATGGTTATAAATAAACAAAGTGAAATTACTATTTTACCCCAATTTATGGTAGCTTGTCATTCCCAAAAATGCTCTCAACAGCAAAGATCGTTGGCCCCCAAAGCCAAACTTTTTCCGAATGGGAGAGTGTAGACTCGTTAAAAGAACAAAAAAAAGAAAAAGTTAGACGTATGGGCGTATGACTTGTATGCTGGGTTAGAACGGTTTTGTTGATACCAGATCCCAACTCTCTGCCTTGCGTAGTTGTGCCTTGTTGTGACGATTCAACACAGGCTTAGTCTTGTTTACGCTTGGCAGGCTTACGTTAGGGACATCACCGTCATTTTCGCCTATAAGATTTTTGGGAGAACTGATGTCATTTTCAAACAGACCACCAAAAGCTTAACGTACTCTTTGAGGAGGGGTGGTCGACTTCCTTGGGTGCCTAACCTTGGCACTCCTAGACCTTCATCCCCTTGCGAGGCGGCCCTGATTAACGGCTAGCATGGCTACCAGGGTTCCTCATGGGCGCACACATGCTCATGGGGATAGTGTTGGACCGGCACTATGCTGCCGACATTCAAGGGAGGCTTGGCATGAGGGCCTCGCTCAAGCATGATCCTTCACCTCGCCAGTCCCTTGCCCAAGCTGATTGACCTATCCCGTTGCCTCTAGCGCACGGGTGTGTTTCGACCCAAGCAGTTGCCTATCATCATGGCACATAGGTGCCTGTCATCATCGGCATACAGGAGATCCTTCACATCGGTGCCAAGTCACCTCATCGGCGCATGGTCGCCTTCCATTATGGTTGTCCCCCTTTAGCACGTAAGCGGCGCCTCTCATGGACCGGTTTGAGCTAGGAGAGTGCCCCTGCCATTGGACTTAAGGTCATGATCGAGTGCTACTGACTTTGATAGAACCATCTCATCGGGGCAACTCCTAGGCTCTAAGCGTATAAAGACTTATCGTGGCCTACCTTGGCTCTAAGTGTATAACTACTCCCGTGACATTGTGGCGGAGAATCGTAGGAAAATATGTTAAAAACAGGATGAGCATTGACGCCATCATCATCCTCTGCCGTGCAAGCCAACCTTTTACCTGCCAGAAGACAAGTCCATCGTCCACTACGAACCCAAAGAAAATTAGAAAAAGATATAAACCCATAGTTACCAGTTCGACGACGGTTTCAGAGAGGGAGAGAGAGAAGCTGACAGATAAAAGAGTTACACAAGTAGAGAACCGTTAAAAGTTGTAGCAGTTTATTGTATAGAATTATAGATAGATAGATAGACAGATAGACAGAGAGCGAGATTGAGAAGGGGAGAGCCCAAAAAGAAAGAGGGAGTTGGTGCTTCCTCGTCCTCGTGTGGTCGTGCCTGACTCATGGTGAGAGAGGTGGAGAAGCGGGGAATGCGACTTGGTAAGTACGAGCTTGGGCGGACTCTCGGCGAGGGGAATTTCGGCAAAGTCAAGTTCGCTCGGAATCTTGAAACCGGCCAAGCAGTTGCTGTTAAGATATTGGAGAAAAAGAGGATCCTTGACCTCAAAATCACCGACCAGGTTTGTTACTCCATGCTTTAATCATTTCCTGTTTTCTTATTACAATTATATCTCAACTCCTTCATTACTTGTTGGGTTTTAGTATTAATTTCCTTCTCTTCTTTCCTCCCTCCATTTGTTTTGTTTTTTGATTTCTTTTTCTTACTGTTCTAAATTTCTGTTTTTCTTCTTTCCCCGCCTCTGGTTTTGTTCTAATATTCTGTTTTTCTTCCCCTTTAAAATTGATTGTCTCGTCAACTGTTCTTCCCCTTACTTGTTGGGTTTTTTGTTTTTTTTTTTTTTTTTCTTTTGTATTTTTTATTTTTCCGTGGCTTTCGATGGAAGACTTGGGGCCTAATTTTATATCTTGTGAGCTTTATGCCTTGTCTTTTCTGATTTCTTATTAGTTTTCTATTTCTCTTTGTTTTTTCTAATGGCAGCATTCTGTCTTCGTTTTTTTCTTATCTCTCGCTCTTAATATCTAAGCAACAATCTAAAGAAACGATTTTGAAAATTGGTGGATGTTGCAGATAAGGAGAGAAATCAGCACTTTGAAGCTCCTGAAACATCCAAACGTGGTTAGATTGCACGAGGTATGTACTCAAAACTAGCTACCTCTCTCTCTCTCTCCAATGTCCGGGTTTATTCCGAGTATCTCATTCTCATGGTGTATTTGCTATTTGGGATGGAAAGGCCTAAATTTCTGGATTACTGGGAGCCAGAATTCCCAAAAGAAATGTTGTTCCTGAGCTGAGTGGTGGCACCGCCAGTTCAGGCTCCAGAATCCAGATTTCCTTTCCGAGGCAACGCCTTTTCTAGCCAGTAACCACGTGGATGACGTAGTTGCCAGTTCTGACCGTACGTCTACTAGGGAAAATAACCTCTGAACTGGACAAATAATTACACTACAGGGGAATGGGTCATGGGTGGTTGGTTATCCAATATCCACAACATAAAGCCTCTCTATCCCGTCGCTTAAAAACTTGGGATTTTTGGGCTATATAGTAGCGTGTCGAGGCAGTATTCATCCTACAGGCTATAAGTCATGGGTGAAAACACCTCAGCCCCTTATTGATGAGAGCTGGGGTCATAAAGTGGCACGCATTCGTGTGGTGGGAAATAAGTCTCCGATCGTTCGGCTTCGGTCGAGCAGCCTTTACATTACAGCCTTGCATTGAGAATATTTCCCCTCCGTAAGTACTTTTATTTGATGGGAGATATTCCGAATGCAAGGTTGCCCTGACGGAAGCCTTCAGTCATAGAATGACAGTCCTCCCACAGTCCAGCATTTGCCTAAACCCGGTCAAATACAAACAAAAATATGGTGACGGATAAGACGCGGCGATGTTGTGATTTGTGAAAAATCTGTGTCTGGTGCCGGTAGGCTGTGGTCCTGTGGAAGACCCAGAACCCCTGGCTCCCCCACTCTCCAACTCTTCAGTCCCCATGCAATTAATAACATCTCAGTTTTGCGTTTGCATGTGCGTATTCATTTTGGTGAGACCCCACCCTCCCCAGTCCCCATTACCCACCACCACCACTACGGTTCAAGGTTGTACAGGGTTATTCCGTCTCCGCTTCGGATTCCTTTCCTTCCTGCCAGGTGCCCATCTTGGGGATAAGGGATAGCAGGCCCACGGAAGTCGGACCAACAATAATGAAGAGGGGACCGATCACCAATTCACCTTTCCTCAATCTATTGTGTTGCATAATTGCAAAAGTTGGGGCCTGGCCGCTCAAGGCTCACATCATTGATTGGGTAGGGGCCCAGGGCACTAGCCCCCAACCCCAAGGGGGTCACCGATCATCGGTGCAGGCTTGCGGTCAGGTGGGTGGAACCGTGGAGTGGGAAGTCCACCGACCAACTCGGGGTGTGGACATTGGACAGCTTATTTTGATCTAGCCATCATAATGGACGAGATGGACAAGATCCAGATATAATGACGTGGAGTGGACATGAGATGAGATGAGACACTGCTCCATCACAGTCAGGGATACCATACCTGAAACTGCTTCCATTAGAAAGTAATTGAATGTCTCTCTTTATCCAGGGACCGAGAATTGGAATAAAAAATGCTTGGGAAGAAGAAGTCAGGAGGAAGAATCACGTCCTTTCTAGTTTCTATTCAGATTCATGTTTCCTGTCGATTTCTTAGTCCAGGATTCGTGTTGATATGGGTTTGTTTGTATCATTGTATGAAGCTTTTAATTTTTGGTATAAGTATGAAGCTTTTAATTGTCAGCTACCGAACCTAACACTAAGTCAAAACTCACAAACCCTCCTCTAACTGGTCTTGTTGTGACCGGTAGTGCAAGACCAAGCCAACACCAGGGAACTTGTATTTTTCCAATGGCTAAGAAACTTTTTATTTCAACAAAATTTGGTAAATTTTTCATTTTTTCTGGGGTGTGATTCAAGATTTCCCCCAATAAATCAAACACATTTTGGATGAATGAAAACTTTCCTGATGGACCCATTACTAGAAATCACTTTAGCAGGCTGCTAGCTACATTATCATAGTGTGGAATCTCTTCCTTCTTTCTTGAAGTAAATTGCAAAGTACCTCAAACTGAAGCTGGAACACATTGAACTAGGCTTGCTGGTAGTTCATTTTCTTTTTTCAAAATATAACTCTGTTCTGGAGCAAAAATCAACTTACTTTTATACTGTGCTTGAACAAAATCAAACTCTCTTGGATAAAAAATCCCATTCTCTGCACCTTTGGTATCATTCCTTTGTCTTCCCAATTGTTTTGATATTTGAATGAATAAGCATACTGTCTCAGAATAACGAGTTAAATGCTTTTGATTATTTTTTTTCCTTAATTGATATTTTGATATATGTGAATGTAATATCCTGATACTTCAAATGCAGGTTTTAGGAAGCAAAACCAAAATATACATGACCCTTGAATATGTCAATGGCGGCGAATTATTTGACAGAATAGTAAGCAGCATCTATATATCTTCCCTAGTTGATCAACTTTTGATTGCACATCTTATTTTACTTCTCTTATTGCTTCGACATTCATGTATTTTTAAAATGCCCTTATTTATTTCTGTCTAAATCTTATAGTATTTGACAATGTGAAGAGTCTCATGTAGGCATCAAAAGGTAGGCTCTCAGAATCTGAAGGACGAAAACTATTTCAGCAATTAATTGATGGTGTAAGCTACTGCCATGACAAAGGTGTATTCCATAGGGATCTGAAGGTATATCTCTCTCACTGGTAGTTTGGCGTTGTTAATTTGCATAACCATTGATTCCAAAGACAAATTGTCATGGGTAACTCTGAGTCACTTAGGAAAAGCAAAATAATTTAGTTGGACCTACCTGGTTGACATTCGTGCAACTTATCCTGTTAACTTTATCTCTGTTAATTTCTTCTCATCCTCATACTATGTATTGTTGTAATTGCAGCCAGAAAATGTTCTTGTTGATGCTAAAGGAAATGTAAAGATATCTGATTTTGGCCTCAGTGCTCTACCTCAACATTTTAGGGTATGGTGTCTATAAATCCAGTCCTTGGCATGTACAAGTTTATATTTACACTTGAAGCGAATCAATTACCCATTCTTCTATTTGTTATTGAAATATCAGGATGATGGTCTGCTACACACAACATGTGGAAGTCCTAACTATGTTGCTCCCGAGGTGATCATGAATTTCAGTTCTTTGTCAATTCTGACCTGTACATTATCTGAGATGAGTTTGCTAGTCCTAGCTAATTTGCATTTTGTTAATCTGCCTGTAGATTCTTGCAAATAGAGGGTACAATGGTGCCACATCTGATCTTTGGTCTTGTGGTGTTATCTTATACGTAATTCTTACGGGTTATCTCCCTTTTGATGATCGAAATCTTGCAGTTCTTTACCAGAAGGTATGAATAATTACCTTTTGTTTTGACTCCATCAGTGTCCTTCCACTGAAAACCATATTTCGAGTTTCATATTGATCTTTGTCCAGACTTTGACACTTATCCTCTTCATGAATCAGATATTCAAGGGAGTTGTCCAGATACCCAAATGGCTCTCAGAAGGTGCGAAGAACTTGATAAAGAGGATACTTGATCCCAATCCAAATACTAGAATTACTATGGCTAAGATCAAATTAGATGAGTGGTTCCAGCAAGATTATACTCCTGCAAACCCTGATGACGAAGAAGAGATCTACGTAGATAATAAAGCCTTCTCACTACATGAGCCGGTATGAAAACAGAGCTCTTCTGTGGTTCAATCTTAAGTTTTTTCTCCATTTTTATGGTTAGCTGAAATTAATCCAATACCTGATGAAGATGTCGGAGGTAGAGAGAGATCCCGGTTCGCCCACTCTAATCAATGCTTTTCAGTTAATTGGAATGTCATCATGCCTGGATCTCTCTGGCTTCTTTGAGACAGAGGTAACTCCAGCTTCTGACTTACTTCTGTTACTCTGATTTTTTTCCATCATCATGAGCATGTCAAACCAATGTATCAACCTGCAGAGCTTCATGAGAGACAATATTCTAATAAAAATTTGGAAAGATAACTTTTGTGTAATATTTTATTTCCCTTTTTAACTTAGTAAACCTTAACTCAGATAGAAAATTCGATTAAACCTTCAAGCTTCTAAATCCTATTAAAATAAATGGGTTCTTCCTTGCAGGATTAAAGGAAAAATTACTTAGTACCCACCAAAAAATGGAAAAAAAAATAGAAATGCTTAATGTCTGGATATTTATGTATTTCAATATGGGAATGAATTTGCTGGTTGTTTAGCCCTCTTCTAACCCTCCATTCATGCAAAAGATTGTCGTTAGAGACATTTCTACATGTTCAATGTAGATCCACTTTATTGATGGGTGTGTTGTTTGGGAAATGCTCCAATATAAGGTTGGGTATAGGGCGGATAAGGAATATGGGGGATTGAACATGTGCCTAATCCAATGGGGCTCCCTATCTGATGTGCAGTGTATGTCAGCCACAGGATCCCTCCACATGGCAGAAATGGGTGGGATTCTGTAATAGGAAATCTTTCCCCCTTACATTATTGAATTCCTGACTGGTAATAAGAAACTTGATAATAAATCTCTTTGTTCCATTACCTGCAGGAGGTGTCTGAGAGAAAGATCAGATTTGCGTCCAACCACTCACCCAAGGAATTACTCGAGAGGATCGAGAGTATTGTCACAGAGATGGGATTCTGGGTTCAGAAAAGAAATGGAAAGGTCAGTACACTCATCATAGGTTAGTCATAATTTTGTTACTTCAAAATATTTCTTTCTTGGGCTCTGATTGATTGCCCAAGTGGGCTATTTTTCCCCAATGGATCTCCTAGAAAGGAGCCACTTAATTAGCATTTCTGCATGAGATGTGTGAATATCAAAGTAGAAAATATGATTATGAAGTACTTAATGCAAATGTTCCCAAGTGGATGAGAATTTTAACTAAATTTCTATTTCTCCTTCCTCTGTATCTATATTGCAGCTGAAGGTAATGCAAGAGCACAATGGACAGAAGAGACCTGGAAGCCTTTCAGTCACTGCAGAGGTATGCCATTTTGACAAACTTAAACAGTATGTTTGGGGAAAATCTGAACATAGTCCTACATCATAACCCTTGAAATAATTTCAGAAGCCTGTTGATTAATTGGTTCAGTTGCTTTATCAACAATTCGGTAGGTCCTAGCAAACCTTCTACTACTAAAAATTATGAAAACTGTGCAGGTTTTTGAGATAAGTTCATCTCTATATGTGGTGGAGCTGAGAAAATCATATGGAGATTCTACATTGTATAGACAGGTAGTCCATCTCTTTCTTTCTTTTCTCATTATTACTTTCATGAATTTTAAATTAAAACTAAGAATAATTTAAATTGATGGCTCACCATATGTCCTTCAGAACTGGTAGGATCCAAAAACCTGGGACCATCATTTCATATTGAATGGAGAATACTAAGTGACAAATAGGAAACTATATTGAATTTCATGTGGCACTATAGATCTATTCCTGTGTATATTATTGGACCATTACCCTTAGGCTCAGTTTGGAAAGCGTACAAATGCAAATATGTACACTGCAAATACATACAATATAATACGAAATACCCGGTTTTGCACTCTACATATTTGTATTTGTACTCTTTCCAAACTGAGCATTAGGAACCATTTAATGGAAATCAGACAAGTTTTTTATTTTCCATGTTTTGATTTGTCAAGTATGATGTTTGTGGGTGCAGTTGTGTACAAAGCTATCTAATGACCTGGGCGTCTCCTGAAGCCAAGAGCTTTTGACAGCACAGGTGTGAATCTGGGAATTAGGTCAAGCAGAACCACTGGATAGGAACATTCGGCAGCTGCAATTTAATTTTTTGTTACATTTACAACTGAAATAAGTATTTAGCATTTATCCTGAAGCCAAGAGCTTTTGACAGCACAGGTGTGAATCTGGGAATTAGGTCAAGCAGAACCACTGGATAGGAACATTCGGCAGCTGCAATTTAATTTTTTGTTACATTTACAACTGAAATAAGTATTTAGCATTTATTGTAAATAAATAAATATTTTATATACATCATATATTATATAGAACACCCCCTCGATTTTCTAGAGGGTATGTAACAGTCACAGAGTTTCAATATGCAAAATTTGTTTTGATGATGAGATTTGTAGAAATGCCTTATTTTGCTGATGTCCTATGCAGCTCTTGCTTTTGTTTTCAAAAACAAAGCCAACCATGTTGTCAAACACCCCCTACGGCTTGGTAATTGGGGAAGAATTGGGACTTGGAAGTTGGAACAGGCAGAAAGAGTGGCAGCCATCAACAAAACCAGTCTTCCTAAATTTCTCAGCCCAACCCTTTCAGGCTATATTTGGTGAATAAGAGATTGTTAAAAGAAGTACTTGTTGCACAAGTACTTTTTAGAAGTGCTTTTAACAACCACTTAAGGTTGTTTGGTGACTCATTTTCCAAATTACTTATTGTGTTTTTTAAACACTTATTGGATGGGAATGTTTGGTAAGCTACTTTCCCACAAGTGTTTATGTTAGCATAAATGCTACTTTTAGCCCTCACTTCACTCGTACATATAAATAATGATTTTCATATAATATAATATACATTTCAATGAAAAATCGCTACATCACAACATCATGATACATGAGAGCCCATGTGAGCCCACACATAGAGTTCCACATGGATAATAATATTATTATTATTAATTATAATAACAATAATAATAAATAATAAATACTTCCAAAAGCACTTTTAAGGATCAATTTTCACAAAGTACTTCTAGAAAGCACTTTCAATGACCAGTTTTTACAAAGTACTTTCATGAAGTATTCTTAAGGAGCAATTTTTACAAATTACTTCTGAAAAGCATTTTCAAGGCGTAGTTTTCACAAAGTACTTCTAAAAAGTGCTTTTAAGGTACAGTTTTCATAAAATAGGATAATTTATTATACAAATTAATAATAATGCAATAATTGAAAATTCCGATTATTCAAGAAAATAAAAAAACACCACCAGTATCAAATTTAAAAATAAATAAATAAGATGACTAAATTCAGATTATTCAAAAGAAAAAAAAAAATTGGGTCATTCAAAAAAATATTAAAAACATCACTAACAAAAATTCATGAAAAAATACAATGTGAAACTAACATCACCAAATAATATTTACTAATAATGTTTCACCATTACATTTAACAAATAAAAATTGCAATGTGAACTTAATAAATATTCATAAAAACTCATGAAAAAATGCAATCACAATTTTGAAAAAAAAAATCAAACATTTAACTAATTATTAATCACAACAACATATATAAAACATAACAAATATTAATATCAAATAAAGAAAAAAAATGCAATTACAATTCATGAATACATGTAAACATTTAATGAAATATTAATCAGAATTTAAAAAATAAAACATCACAAATATCCACACATCAAAATGCAATGTGAATTCAACATCACCAAATATTCATCCAACTTCATTAATTTTTTTGCATCATTTTCAACAAAAAAAAGCCAAAAAATCCTATTTATGCATAGGAATAGTCAAAATATGCCATTTTTCCAATTAAATTCAATATTGTGACCTCTGAGGACCCCTATGCAAATCCTGGGAAAAGTGGGGAAGTTCTAGGGCTAAAATGCAGCTTTTGGGAAGTTGGTGTGAATTCCAGCTGAGAGATGGGGTGTTTTGTGAAAAACTGAGCACAGGAGGGCGCCTCCTATCTGCTAAACCCAGAATGGCGCCCCTCCTACTATATTAGCATACTCCCCTCTCCTTAGCAAACCTTAGGGCGCCTCCCCACTCGTTGTTTTCACCTATAACCGCCCCTAACTGCTAAATCGTCACCTTCCATTCCTTTTAATCTCCACCCTCCATTCTAGGGCGCTCTCTCTTTAGCATTCTAATCTTAGGGTGCCACCTAATTTCTAATCCCCACCATTCAGCCTTTAGCCACTAGATCTCAGCCCTCTATTTCACTCTCTATCTCAACCATTCACTCTAGGGTGCCACCCACTCCTTTTAATCTCCACCTTTTAGCCTTAGGTGCTTAAATCTCCACCATCCAATCTTAGGAGCCCAAATCTCAGCCATACGTAATATTGGGCGCCCTCTCCTTCTCTTCTCAGCCTTAGGATCACCTTGGAACAATCCTAACCCTCCATTCTCAACCCTATGGCACCCATATTTTTGTAAAAAACCCAACCGCCGCCCCCCTCTTTCTCTCCAATACCAGTTATGACCACCCTTCTCTATTAAAAGGACCCCAATGGCCCTAAAGAAGGGGTTGGTCAATTCACCCAATTCAAGTTTAAGGTTTCTTGAGGAGTTCAAGGGTTGTAGAAGGGAAGGACGTCCAGATCTTGTCAGGAGGGGTTCCTGCAATCAGTTAAGCAAATCTGCAACTACCGCCACTGGATTTGATCATCCATTCATTTCGTTTTCTTTATTTTATTTTATGTTATTTTTATTTATGTTGGTCAATTCACCTAGTTCACAAGGCTAAGGTTTCTTGAGGAGTTCAAGGGTTGTAGAAGGGAAGGGCGTCCATATCTTGTTAGGAGGGGTTATTGCAAGCAGTCCAGCCAATCTGCAACTACCGCCTTTGGATTTGATTAGCCATCCTTTTCATTTTCTTTATTTTCTTTTATGTTATTCTTATTTCAGCAATCTGTTAGATTTAATTTATGTTCGTTTGTGTATTTTGCATATCTAAATTCGTCTGTTTCAAGGCTAAGGTGTCTCGAGGGGTTCGAGGGCTGAATGGAGGGGGAACGCTTGTATTTCGTCTTTCCGAACAGCTACCGCCACTGGATCCGAATTTTGAATCACTTTTATTTGTTTCTTTTGTTGATTTCAGTATTCTTTAATTTATGAACATTAATTATTGTCTTGTTTAATTCCAAATCTTCAATTTCTGCATTAATAAATTTTATTTTCTTATTTTCTGCACATCCTATATCCATTTTCCTTTTATTTGTCCAGAACAAAAAATAATAATTTTTATTCTTGATTCCCTATGTGTTCGACCCCTTCCTCACCACGTACTACGTTGTTTAAGGTTACGTGAGGATTGAAAAAATTTATAAATTTCTAAACTAGTGTTTTAAAGTGATTAACGACACGCTTCTGGCTACACCAATTCACACATCAAAATGCAATGTGAATTTAACGTCACCAAATATTCATCTAATTTCATTAATTTTTTGCATGATTTTCAACAAAAAAAGCCAAAAAATCCTATTTATGCATAGGAACCAATTCATAGACAATGCAAAAAAAAAAAAGATTTCTCATATGAAACCAAAAAATTTTGAATCAGGCAAATAATCATCCAAAAAAACCAAAAAGAACATCAAACATGGAGGGGAGGAGTTTTGGGCGAACTAACCTTCTTGTTGTCGGCGGCTGCTGGACAATGGGATTGTTGTCATTAAACTCGCCCAAAAGCATATATGCAAACAAGAGAAGAGGGGAGTTTCAGACTTAAAAAAAAAACAAGAAAATAGCTTCAAGTCGAAAAAAAAAACTTCACAAAAAAGAGCAAAACGACAAGTCTACTGGCCGTTTTTCCTCATCGTTGATCATCGCCGGTGGACCTGCAACTAAAGGTGCCGCTCCTTGGTTTGTTGTGTTCAAATGGGAGGAGAGGGAAGAAAACCCTCATGCAAGGGTATTTTGGGTATTTAAAATTTTAACAGGACTATTCCGTCCCATTCGATTGGAAGAAGCACTTCTACAAGAAGTGCGGAAAAAAAAAGCAACCTTGAGGTCACTTTTTTAAGAAGTGCTGCTTTAAAAAAAAGTACTTTGTCTTCGCATTTTTACCAAACACATATAAGCACTTAATAACCACTTAATGTGTGGTCCCGACTCTTAAAAGAAATACTTTTTTATAAGTAAAAACAAATGGGATCTTAATGTGGCTAATACCAGGGTGGGCTCATCCCCATTCCCCAACTCAGGATATCACTTTCTCCACCCTAGTAACTAGGGCATTAAACAAATTAGGGATGCAACTTGGGCGGTCCCAAACTGAGCCCAACCCAACCCAATCCAATCCTAGCTTTGACACCACTTGAGTTTTCAGGCTTCATGTTGGGCCTAGGCCAAAAACTTGGGCCTGACTCAAAATTGGGTTGGGATTGGGTTGAAATGTCAAGTAGCCCAAGCCCCACATGAACAAATACATACACATATGCATCTTATTAGTAGAATAATATATTTTCTAACTAACTGACTAACTAACTAATATATATTCGTGTATGTATGTATGGAATATGCATACATATTTTGTTAATGAAACTTATATATATATATTTTATCCATTTTGCTTCTACGGCGGGCTCTAAAGACCAGTAAATGATGACTATATGAAAATATAACCATAGATTCTTTCAAACCAAACCAACCGCCCAGCCTGGTTCAACCTGAGTTGAATTGGGTTAAGTTCAGGTTGGGCGTAGGTTGATAAAACCAGGTTGGGCAAGGCCTGAGCCTGAACCTTACATCTTAGGGTTGGGCTTGGGCTAACTGTTAACCCTACCCTATCCACCAAAATTGCATCCCTAAACAGAATGAAATGGCAAAACAGCATTTATGTAGCCAAACCGAATGAAATATCAAAAATTATATATAAAAAACAGAACATATAAAATTTACAAAAAATATATTAAAATGAAGAATTCTGAAAATTATAAAAATATACCCTTTTGGCATTGAGAAAACACTTTTGTAAAAATTCTTTCATAAAAGTACTTTGATAAAAGTACTTGTAGACATGTGAATTTTTTAAGTCAAATAAGTGGACTTAAGTTACATGATAGCCCTCTCAAATTAATATGGGCCTTCATGGGCCCAAGGCCCAAGTCTACATAAGTATGTCTTGATGGCCTAAGGATCCAAGTGTATTAAGTCCAATCTGGCCCATCTTCTATTGTAATAGGGTGGTCTTATTGGCAAGACCACTAACTCTTACATAATGGTACATGCATAGGAGTTGATGCTAATCAAACACCCCACTCACATGAATTGGTTAGCTAAGAGGGCTGAGGTGTTAGTCTTAATCCTTGGCTATAAATAACCTTACCTAGGAAGAAAGAGGGTTCTTCCTCTTTTGGAGAATCACATTGCAAGAAGCCCTTAGACACCAACACTTGAGGATTGCAAGCAACTACATGCTCTTGCAAACTCCAATAACTTCAAGATAAAGAGAGAAGAAAGAAGGGAAAAGCTTATTAGTTCTCTACAACTCACTTGGATTCAAGCTCTCCAAAGAAAATCAAACCACCACAAAAAGGGCCCTTCTTAGAGAAGCATCCCTCATAGCCGATCAAGCGCGAAGCTCAAAGTGAAGAAAGCTACATCAAATCTCCCAAAGCACCAAAATCGATGAATCTACATCAACACTTCAAGAAGTACGGGAAACAAGCCAACGCCTTCGTCTTCACCAAATTCGACCGTTAATCAGAGGTTGTTCACGTCATCGAGCAAAAAATCAAAGAGAGTTCATTCCCTTGTTTATTTTTCTTTATTACAATTTTATTTTGTAATTTGTCTCCATATTTTGTGCTAATTGAAATACATGAAAATTGTTGATAGTACTTTCGTAAAAGTGCTTTTGTAAAAGTAATTTAATGAAAGTACTTTCATAAAAGTACTTTTATAAAAATACTTCCATAGAAGTGATTTTACAAAAGTACTTTTATAAAAGTAATTAAGTACTTTCCTAGAAGTGCTTTTGTAAAAATGCTTTCACAAAAGTACTTTTATATAAGTATTTTTATAAAAGTGCTTTCGTAGAAGTTCTTTTATAAAAGTGCTTTTGTAAAAGTACTTCCGTAAAAGTTCTTTTGTAAAATTGTTTGTGTAAAGGTACTTTTGTAGAAGTGTTTTCGTAAAAATGCTTTTATAAATATGCTTCTATAAAAGTGCTTTCATAAAAGCACTTTTGTGAAAGTGCTTTCGTAAAAGTATTTTTGTAAAAAGTGCTTTCGTAAAATTACTTTTATAAAAATGTTTTCGTAAAAGTACTTTCATAAAAGTAATTTTATGCCAGTTTCAGTTATGATCAGTTTCAAGTTGGACAAGGGTTTGGCCTCATGATCGGATTATTGGAATTTTGGTTTAGGTCCAATTCAGGCCAATAGGAATATTGACCAATTTATTTTGGATTTACCCAATCCAATAATTATACGGACCATCCAAATCCAATTTGATAAGGTTTGAATTGGATTGGATCCAACCCAAAACCGACCGATTGACACCCCTACGCCGTAAAGTTGGTGTGAGTTGCATCTTGTGAGTAGCAAATCCCAATTCATGTTTTTGATAGTAAGCCAAAATTTCTGAAGTGAAGTGTCCATATCAATAACTTTCCCCTTTTTATCGGCCTATTGGGTATTTGTGTTAGATGCATTATGTCCGAAGAGAGTTAGGGTGACAATCCTGAACGATGAAAGAGAATGAATGTTCACTTGGTAGGTGTTTGGCATCAATGCTAGGGACATCACACCGTTTTTTGAGAAAAATGGTGCTGGGCATGTAAAGTTGTAAGCATCGTTTTCTCTTATTTTTTTGTTTGAAACCGGTGCTATCATATAGGTGGATTTTGAGAAAATAGCACTAGTTTTGTTCGATACCAGGACTGGCAACAAAGTTTTCAATATTGATCTTATTATCCAACATCCAAGATGATATCACATTGATGCCATGTCATTGCATCATTGGCAGCAATGCACAATTTTTCTAAAAAACATCAAACTTAGCATTACTCTAGACCACACTTTCCGATTTCCAAATGTTTTATTAAGAAAACGGTATCAAACAAGGTATGTGTTTGGTACCGTTTATGTTTATTGAATAAATGTTTGTACTTTATATGCTAGTAAAACCGAGAAATGTAATACAACTGGGCACCATTAGGCACACACTTTTTACATTTTTTATGTATGGGGATGAACAAGAGAGAGAAAATACCGAGATGATGCCTATGTGGCACCATCAATTAAACGTTTACTGAATAAAGTAAACGATACCAAACATCACTAAGAAAGCGTTGCTTCCAGCACCGTTTTGTTTTCTCTGACATGGTACCGATGCCAAACACCGCCTTGATTAATGAACACTTGAACGGTCACGTGTGTTATTCCTGTTATCTTGTTCTGAGACATATGACTTTATGAGTTTCCTACGAGATCTGTAATTTGTCACAGCAAGAAAGATTTTATCAAATGCAATGTAAACTCAGTATTCTCATCTTATCCTTTCATCCTAACGTTATCTGCATTAATTCGCATGATTCATTCCTTTTATTTACTATTTTTTTGTGCAGTGCTTTATTACGAAAAAGGCACACACATACATTTCCGTTTCTTCTTTTTTAAATCATGCCAAGTTTATCTTGTCGACCTTGTTTCTTAATTTGCTCTAAAGACTGATGAGATCCATTGTAGAAAGATTATTTTTTCCGATTGTCATTAGTTTCCTCTTGAGATCTAGGTCTTTTATACACTTTCTTGATTCTCACAGTTTATTATTATGATGGTCCACATGGAAGTGTAAGATGTCCGGAGCCTCATCGAGCCATCGTCATCGGGGTAGAGAAGAAAAAGTGGTGGTGACTGGTGAGATGAGAATTCCCTCATGTTCTATTCCGATCGTTACCAACCTATCATTCAATGCGCTGCGAAATAAGAAGGTTGACAGCCTTTCTGTTGTCTGAACATTGGAGCCAAGGAACAACCACAGAGCGCAAGAGCATTTTGTTGTGTGCTTCGGGGAGAAGTTTCGAGAAACCCTACCGGCCACCACCGTCAGCGATCAGCTTGTCTTTGTTTTTCGGAATCCTGAAGTTTTTGTATTTCTTCGGTATCCAGCCTGTAACTGTAACTCTTACAAAGCTTCCTCGGCAATCAGCCTGAAATATTTTTGCTAGAAAGCTCTGTGGAGAATCGCTTATAGCAGAAGCACAGGAAAACCATTCCTTGTTTTGTTCTGGCTCACATGCTTTTATATCTGGACTTTTCCATCTGCAGTGGACAGACGGCAAACCGACGAAGTCCGTGACACAGAGTTTGGTTTCTCTGGTGAAGAACAGGTATTTTTTACCAGTGCTTGTATTTATATAGCAAAATTATTTGTGTGGAATTTATTGTGAGAATGCGAACCATTCCTTGGAAAGCGAGAGGGTGTAATAACCCAGAAACAATGCGTTTCTTAACAAGATTGTGCGGTATGTGCAACCCTGACGTTCTATTCCTCTCAGAAACACAGTTGAATGGAGATAACAACATAAAATTGATAAGAAAATTAAATTATAAAAATCATGCTATTCAGGAGGCACATGGATACTCAGGGAGACTATTATACCACTGAAGCTTATGGAACAATCTTAACGGTTCTTCCTATTGGAGCTGTTTGGTTTACGGTGATCCTGTGAGAAGACTAGATTTCTTTTTTTTTTATAGGAAACGGTAGAGAAGACTATGATTATGAAGGTCGTAGGGTGAATGATCACCGATTATCTCAATCTCTATTAAATTTGATTGCCACTGTAGGAGAGTCATGGAACGAGCTCATAAAAGGGCAAGAGGAAGTGTTAGATGGGGGGGAGTAGCGGCAGTGTTGCTGAAGAGGGCGGGGGGGTTGATATCGGCACTTTGGAGGAAGGTTTTCTTTGTATTTTTTGGAAGTTCAGAGTTGAGTGTGATGAAGCGTATTTGTTAATTGTTATTTAGTTTGTGAGGTTTCTGTATGAGATTTTCTTCTTTGTGTTTATTTGATGTCGATAGATTAAGATCAAGGTGTTAACTTAGCATCTTAGTCGGGGTTGTAATCAGTTTCCTTTTTATTTCTCTTTAATAAAAATTTTCTTTTATTATAAGAAAAAGTCAGGGCCCATATTACACAAGATCAAATAAACAACAGGGGGGATGTTGAGTTAAGGAAAGGTTAAATAGATGCTTGGAAACACAGGGTTGGCTTCAGATGTTCCCAGAAGCCAATATACAGAACATATACACAGTACATTCGATCATATAGTGCTTATGTTGGATGCTTACCAAACAAAATTGACGGGTCCAAACAATTTTACTTCATTGCAATGTGGGTGGATGAAGAGAATGTGGTATGTTGACAAGAAAATTATGGAATGGGGGCTGAAGGGGACAATTTTTTTTTTTTACTGTAATAAAAAAATTTAAAAATTGTAAAGAAAATTTTAAGATACGAAACAAAGAATTGTTCAGAATAATTAGAGAGAAATTAAAAGAATTAGAGAAAGAGCTTCAAAGGGACTTGCAGGAAAATGATATGGGACTATAGAACACCACAAGTTAAAAAGAGTGGAAGGAGAATATAATCGATGGTAGGAACGGGAGGAGAAATTATGGAAACAAAAATCTAGGGAAATATGGTTAACAGAAGGGGATTTGCTAAATGGTTAAGGTGACTAATTTGGCTCTTCTTAGTAAATGGATCTGGAGATTTGTCTCGGAAAGAGGAGCTTGGTGGAGAAACCTGATTGCTGCCAAGTTTGGGGTAGAGTGGGGTGATTGGAGATTGAGAGATCCACTTCCTAATTGGGGCTGTTCTTTATGGAAAGGCGTAATGAAATGCTTTGCCATGTTTAGAGAGGGTTTAAGCTTCAAAGTAGGCAGAGGAGACAGAATCAGATTCTGGAAGGATCCTTGGTGCTTGGAATACCCTTTGGCTGAAGTTTTTCCTCTTCTTTATCAGTGTGCCACCAATCAGAATGCTTTGATTGCTGACTCTTACACCTCGGGTAATGAGGTGACCTGGGATCCACAGTTCAGAAGAAGTCGTTTTGATTGGGAAATGGGAATTGGACGAAGTTGTGAGATTGTTGGAAACTTTACAAGCTCAGAGTATTGACTGCAGTCAGGACGACCAGTGGACATGGAATTGGTCTAAAGAGGGCAGCTTCTCAGTAAAATCAATGGCCAGTAAGCTCAGTAGCAGATCTGCAGTGGGGACTTTTCCTGTGAGTGCAGCCAAAGCCTCAGCCTTTGTGGCATCAACCCTCCCAATCGGGCCACTGTAAGCCCAGCAACTATTCCCCCTTTCCCCTCGGATTACACCCCCAATTCCTGCTTGACCTGTGGAACCTTGGGCGCTACCGGTCAAAGTTTAGTCATTCCTCCTCCTTTTCTAGGAGCCTGTCTTATAGTCCACTCAGATGTGTCAGAGTCCGTTCGAAAGTCAGAGAAAGAGAGAGACAAACATAGAGAGAACAGTCAAATGGTGGGTGTGACACCTTGTGTCAGTCGATACCCTAAAAGATATATTTATATTAAGTTGTAAAAGGACAGATCTGCCCTTAATGTACAAGAGAGAGATAATACAAAGAATAGGTATACAACAAAGAAAAGTAAAAGTACAAAAATAGCCCTACGACTAGATTTCACTGTCTCTACACTCCCCCTCAAACTGATGCCTAGGAACAAGCATCGGTTTGTCCATGAGAAATAGATGTCGAGCCCGTGTCATTGCTTTAGTCAACAAGTCTGCTAGTTGAAGCCCGGAAGAGACATGGGAAAGAGATATGGTACTCTCAAGAAGGAGATCGCGAATGAAGTGGCAGTCAACTTCTCTGTGTTTGGTGCGTTCATGGAAGACGGGGTTGGATGCAATTTTTATTGCACTGATACTGTCTGCATAAAGAGGAACAGACAATGACGGCTCATTTAGTATTTCAAATAGAAGAGCCCGAAGCCATATGATCTCACTACACACGGAAGACATAGCCCTGTATTCAGCTTTAGTGGAAGATTTGGACACAGTAGCTTGTTTCTTGCACTTCTAGGAGATAAGGGAGTTGCCTAGGAAGACACACCAGCCAGTAATGGGCCGTCGGGTGTCAGGGCATCCGCATAGGCCATAAGATGAATGGGAGATGATGAGGAGAAGAATATCCCATGTGACAGTGTGCCTCACACATATCTTATAATCCGATGAACTGCAGATAAATGTGGTTGTCTTGGAGAAGAAACAAACTGACTTACTATCTGAACTGCATAAGATATGTCTGTCCGAGTCATGGTGAGATAGATTAGACTTTCCACTAGCTGACGATAAAGGGTAGGATCTTCAAGGGGAGACCCATCATCTTTGCTGAGTTTTAGGTTCAGTCCTAGTGGAGTGTCCACAATCTTAGAGTCACTAAGATTTGCTTGTTTAACTAGGTCAGCCGCATACTTTTGTTGATTAACAAAGTATCCTCGAGAATTTCTGCTCACATCAAGGCCCAAGAAATATGTCAAAGGCCCCAAGTCCTTCATCTTGAAGGACTCACTGAGTAAATGTTGTAGCCTAGAAATTCCTTCTGTATCATCCCCTGTAATGAGTATATCATCAACATATAGGAGTAATATTGTTACTCCCTGCTTTCTCCTTAAAATGAATAAGGAATAATCAGAAGGACTCTGGGTAAAGCCAACACCGGTGATGATGGATCTGAACTTTTCAAATCATGCCCTAGGGGCTTGCTTTAGGCCATAGAGTGATTTCTTCAGACGACAAACAAGTTTCGGATCTGTACAGTATCCTAGAGGGGGCTTCATTATAGGCTGTCTCTTTTAACTCCCCATGAAGAAAAGCATTCTTGACATCCATCTAATGGATTGTCCACTATTTGGCTGCAGATATGGCAATGTAGTCATTTTAGCTACAGGAGCAAAGGTCTCCTCATAGTCTATCCCGTATTCCTGCTTGTATCCCTGTGCAACAAGTCTGACTTTATATCTGTCTAGGCTTGCATTAGATTTCGGTTTCACAGAATAGACCCATCGACTTCCTATGAGAGAGGCTTCTGGTGGAGCTTGAACCAGGTCCTAGGTGTCATTCTCAAGAAGGGCTCAAATCTCATAATCCATGGCATCTTTCCAGTGTGGTTCTGCTACGGCCTACTGGTAAGATCTGGGAATGCCATTGGCAGATAAAACGGTAGAAAAGGAGCTATGGTCTGGTGAATAACCATAGCGGTTAGGTGGTCGAGAGATTCTAGTGGAATGGCATAAAGTGGGTTTAGGAGGAAGGTCAGGTACACTTACTAAGGGAGCTGGAGTGACCGGATCAACAATTGGAGGCGGAGCAGAGGGGGGGGGGATGGAGACTGAAGAAGACCATTGTTTCCTGAAGTATGTCTGAAGCTGCTGCGGGGGTGACAATGGAATGGAATATCTGAGGTGCCTGTAGAATCAAAACTGTGCAACAAGGAAATAGAAGGAGTTGGGAATTTCACAATATGTTCAAAAAATGACACACTTTCAAGAAAAAACTACATTATGAGAGATTTGAAGGGGACGAACCAAGGGATCATAGCAAAGGAACCCCTTATGTTGAGAACTGTATCCCATGAAGGCACACAAAGCTGCTTGTGTAGTTAACTTTGCGCGTTCATGGGGTAGAAGGTGGACAAAACAAGTACAACCAAAAACCCTGAGCATGGATAGGTTTGGAGGTTTGTGAAAAAGAGATTGAAAAGGAGAGGAGTTATTCAAAACATATGACGAAAGACGATTTATGAGATACACAGCAGTGTTGGCCATCTCCACCCAAAACCAAGAGGGTACATGGGAATCTTGTAAAAGGGTTCTGACTACACTCAAGATGTGCCCATTCTTCCTTTCTGCTACCCCATTTTGTTGTGGGGTACCCGGACAAGATTTTTGGGGTTGAATTCCATGTTGTTTCAGGTAGTTTTGAAAATCCCCATCAATATACTTCTCCCCTGAATCCGATCTTAGCACACAAATTCGAGCATCAAATTGGGTAATTACATAAGCGTGAAAGTGTTTAAAAACAGTGTACACTTCAGATTTCTTTCGAAGAAAATAAGCCTAAGTAAAACAAGTGCAGTCATCAATGAAGGTTACAAAATACTTATACCCCAGTCGTGAAACAACTGGAGACGACCGGACATCACTATGTATTAAATGAAAGGGAACGGTTGCATTTTCAGAATAAGAAGGAAATGGTAAAATATGACTCTTATATAAACCACAAATAATGCAATCTTTATTCACATTCCTAAAAGAAATAATAGAAACAGGTAAACTACCAGGATCAAATAATTGA